GGTGTCCGATTCAAAAGCTGATTCTTTTCAATGAACCTGTTAAATCAGTTCACAAATAGCACTGAACGATTCATACGTGAATTGGACTGATCGGATTGCAGCTCGAGTCAACAACTCAGTGATTCAAATGATCCGGTCATCAAATGATCCGGTCAGAGCAAGTCTCCAGTGAACAACTCACTGATTCAAATGATCCGGTCAGAGCGAGTCTCCAGTGAACAACTCACTGATTCAAATGATTTGGTGAGAGCGAGTCTCCAGTGAACAACTCACTGATTCAAATGATCCGGTTAGAGCAAGTCTCCAGTGAACAACTCACTGATTCAAATGATCCAGTCAGAGCGAGACGACTCGCTGATTCAAACGATCCGGTCAGAGCGAGTCTCCAGTGAACGACTCGCTGATTCAAATGATCCGGTCAGAGCGAGTCTCCAGTGAACAATTCGCTGATTCAAATTATCCAGTCATAGTGAGTCTTCAGTGAACAACTCGCTGATTCAAATGATTTGGTCAGAGCGAGCCTCCAGTGAACAACTCACTGATTCAAATGATCCAGTCAGAGCGAGTCTCCAGTGAACAATTCGCTGATTCAAGTTATCCAGTCAGAGCGAGCCTCCAGTGAACAACTCGCTGATTCAAATGATCCGGTCAGAGCGAGTCTCCAGTGAACAATTCGCTGATTCAAGTTATCCAGTCAGAGCGAGCCTCCAGTGAACAACTCGCTGATTCAAATGATCCAGTCAGAGCGAGTCTCCAGTGAACAACTCACTGATTCAAGTTATGCAGTCAGAGCGAGCCTCCAGTGAACAACTCGCTTATTCAAATGATCCAGTCAGAGCGAGTCTCCAGTGAACAATAAGCTGATTCAAATGATCCGGTCAGAGCGAGTCTCCAGTGAACAATACGCTGATTCAAATTATCCAGTCAGAGTGAGTCTCCAGTGAACAACTCGCTGATTCAAATTATTTGGTCAGAGCAAGTCTCCAGTGAACAATTCGCTGATTCAAATGATCCGGTCAGAGCCAGTCTCCAGTGAACAATTCACTGATTCAAATGATCCGGTCAGAGCGAATCTCCAGTGAACAACTCACTGATTCAAATGGTTTGGTCAGAGCGAGTCTCCAGTGAACAATTCGCTGATTCAAATGATCCGGTCAGAGCGAGTCTCCAGTGAACAATTCACGGATTCAAGTTATCCAGTCAGAGCGAGCCTCCAGTGAACAACTTGCTGATTCAAATTATCCAGTCAGAGCGGGTCTCCAGTGAACAACTCACTGATTCAAATGATCCGGTCAGAGCGAGTCTCCAGTGAACAATTCGCTGATTCAAATGATCCAGTCAGAGTGAGTCTCCAGTTCACAAGTCTGACTCAAATGAGCCAAGAACGGGAGATCCTTATTGTTGGTCTGAAAAGTAAGTTACTAATGCAAAATTAGTGTCCAGTGAACAATTCCAGTGAACAATTCGCTGATTCAAATGATCCAGTCAGAGTGAGTCTCCAGTAAACAACTCGCTGATTCAAATGATTTGGTCAGAGCGAGTCCCCAGTGAACAATTCTCTGATTCAAATTAACCAGTCAGAGCAAGTCTCCAGTGAACAACTCACTGATTCAAATGATCCAGTCAGAGCGAGTCTTCAGTGAACAACTCGCTGATTCAAATGATTTGGTCAGAGCGAGTCTCCAGTGAACAATTCGCTGATTCAAATGATCTGGTCAGAGCGAGTCTCTAGTTAGTCTCAGCCTCAGACGTCACGCCCACGGACCGTTGGCTAAACGTCTGATGCATATGGCACACAAAAGTGGAAACACTTCAGGAGTTTCGAAGTCG